GAAAATTTGTGTATTCTTAAAAAGTCAAATGTATTAAAATTGTGGATTAAATTGGTGAGCAATATAAGTTGGGTTATTAACTTGATTTATAAATCTGCGGGGGTATTAAGCTCGTATGTAATCGAATCCGAAAGTGTATCTGCGAGTGGTCAAAAATGTACATATACAAGTATCTATTATAGTGTAGATATAGTATATAGTATAGTAAATTACATTATATCTGTATTGGACAAGAATTGGTAAGATAATCTGCATCTGCAGAAGTACCTGTATTTGTGCGCTTACCTGTGCCTAGTTATGTATCGGTGTATTTATATCCGACCATTCACCTGAATTCGTAAATGCATATCTATACATTTCTTGATCTATATCTGCATATTTTTCTGTACATTTCGCTATATCTTTATTTATATGTATTTTTTATGTGTATCTGTATTATTATCCCAACATGTGCACAGAAGCCCGTCTGGCATCTTTCAACACAAGTTGAGAGTCTTGCTGCGCTGTCTGTCTTCAGACTGTTGTTGGCTGATGTTTATGCAAATAGGCAAATACACATAGCATATACAAAAGGCAGCACACAGCCTCGCCTGAAGGGGGAGTAGCGAGCCGGAGAGAAGATCGAACTGCGAACTGCCAACTACCAAATGCTCAACCAGGCTCGTAATTTGTGCTCGTATATGTTGCTCCGGTTGAGAAGTTATGATGGTCTTGCTGCCATATCTGAATTGGTGGCATCAAATTCGAAATACAAAATCACCGCTTGTTGGCTACTGTTGGCACGTGCAAGCCGATGCGCCCCCCACAAGTAGTCGTGCAGGGGCCGGCGAGAGTAAAGCGGTGAAACGGGTACGCGCCCACGTCAAGTAGGAGTCGGGGATTTGCTTCAATTTTGCATGTGACTGCCACCTTTCACCTCAAATTGAGTTGATTGTCGACATTCAGAACGTGGCCAGACATTGTTCAAATGCTTCCAATTGTTGATTTGCTGTTGTTGTCGCTGTTGTTGTTATTGCGGCTGTATTTGGTTTGTGATTCTGATTCCGATGCTGATTCTGTTATTTTGTTATGCCGTCTGCATGTGCCCTACATATTCGCCTATTCGCGCATATTTGCATAAGTTGGAGCTGGCCACGCCTCTGTCGCCGCCATCTCTGTGTGCTTATTGACTTCACCACGGGCTTGGCTGCATTTTTTGCGTTGGCTCAACGCTTCCGGAAATTGTCGAGGCATTTATTTTATTTTCAAAAAAGCAAAAAAATATAAAAAATATCTTGAAGACGCCCGAAAAATGGTGTTTTCTTTCATCTCAAATACAGCGAATGCAGCGAAACCGCGATGCTAATAATGCTCTGATCCCAACTAGCTTTGCTTTGTTAGATGCTTATCAGATTAGTTTTGCGACGAGACAACTTTTTAGGTGTAATACTTGCTTAGGCAGTTATAGAGTTTCGGGTTCCATTAAGAGTATATTCAGCTAACAGATTCTTAATATTATGAAATGTATTTTTATCAACTGGCCATCAGCTTGAATTATACTTAGCTCCCTTCATCAGCGGCCGGGCATTCGGTCCCGTGTTAAAAACTTTGACGTTACTTCTACAACTTTTCAGCTGTTTGATCTCATTTTAAACTTATTCGATGTGTGCTGTCAGCGGATGAAAAAACCACAAGATTCGTGCCAGAGCAGCCATAACTTAAAATGGTGACAGTGAAGCGCACTTCCGTGTCAACCGCACAGACACGCACACCAAGTGCTCGACAGATGTCCCTCATCAATTCGCACCTTAAAAAACAAACAAAAACGAACACAACAATCATAAAAAAAAAAAAAACGGAAAGTGAATAGTCTATAAAAAATAAAATAAAAACAATAAAAAACAATTATGAAAAGGTCAAAGCAAATGAGAGAAAATAAACAGCAAAAATCAATAGACAAAAGGCGACAAATTGAGGCACAGCCATTCGCCAGGCTAGGCTGGCAGGCAGGCTGGCTGGCTGGCCACGCCCAATATGAGGGGCGCTGCAAATTCAAGCGAATTAAGTCATTTAAACTTTTGCAGCGTGTGATTTTTCTTTCCGGCATAGTTCAAGGCCCATGCAACAGCAACAGCAATAACAATAACAAACAAGACGGAAATGTCTGGGGCCGAGAAATTTTATTTATGGCGACTTTATGCGCATTCATCATCGAGGAATGTTTCTCCTGTGTGCTCATTCGTGTGTCTGTGTATGTGCGAGTGTGCGTGTGTGTGTGTGTGTATGTGTGCAAAGCTACTTAACTTGCGTGCGTGTTGCGTACGTGGTCATGTGTGAGAGCGCGAGCTTCACATGAGCAACACGCGCACTTGACATTTATGTGCGAAACGCAACTGAAGCCCCCGCCATTCACCGCCCACGCGCACAGCTCCCCAGCATTCAGTGTGTGTCCACTATGGTCAACGATGCCAACCAATATTTTTCACATTTTACTCACGAACGCAACCACAACAATAAAAACAATAAGAATGCGCAACTAGCAACGGCGTGCCGCATATCAGATACCCTTTCGGACACAAACTCATTTACTCGCATTATATATAAGTATTAGTCAACCGATGTAGATGTAGATAAAGAATATGCTTAAGCGTGCTTTGAAATTAAGCATATATGTATATTTCTTTGTATGCCCATTTCTCTACACAACACCAAAGTGAAAATTAAAATGCGTGTAAGAAATTAGGTACAATTTTCAATAACAAGTTATAAAAGGCTATAATAACTATCGTTTCTTTCGATACTGTTTATGAAACCAATCAACAAAATTGTCAGGTTATACAGTATCGATATCTAAATAAATAATAATCCTTATCATTTTTCGAAAAACCAGAACAAATGAACAGTCCAATTTTCAATGGCTCGTTTTCAACTTTATTTCACACTTTCCGTACGCCTTGATTTTAATAGTCTCAAGAAACTTAGAGGTCAAGAAGAAGAAACCAACACAGCTTAGTAGAAAAATGGGAATAATTGTTGCAACAAATTTAAATGTTGTCATATAAAAAATAATATTGGTTAACCAGAATACCATTTACTACTTGAATACTATGAATATTTAAACCTTTTCTTTCTTTAAATCATACGCATAAAAACTATTCTGTGAAATGTTTCAAGAATTTTTGTGCTAAAAATGTGTGTGCTTAGGAAAAATATGATAGGGTAACTTGACGTCAATAAGCGCTGTTTTTGGCTGTTGCCCCATATTCTATTGATGCTTTCTATGATTTATTTGTTGCAATTAAGTCGTCGCGGCGTCGTAAATTGGCACTGGCCAAGACGCTATGTCAGTCCCGCATCTATAATTGCACTTGCCAATTGCCGGAAGTGAGATCAGCCGAATGTAGTCGATAAAGCGCCTTGCTGGCGAATGGCAAATATATATGAAAAGAAAGCCAATCGCTAATGTGAAATTTGATTAGCATGCGGTATGTTCCCGTCGTGTCGCCTTGCCGCCTCGCTTACCCTCTCTCTCTCTCTCTCTCTCTCTCTCCCTCTCGCTGTCTCTCTCTCACACACATACTCACTGGCTCTCTCGCTCGCAATCGCTTTGTGTGCGTGTTTTTGGCTTGTCAACAAAGTTCCCTTCAGTTCGTTGCCAACCAATTTCCTGGCCCTCCTCTTGCGCCACAACCTAGTAATTGCATTTAAAAAGAGAAAAGCCAACGCAAAGAGAAAGCGAAGGCCTTGCTTCTTTTAAGCATAAAGAGAAAGTGAGAGAGTGAGAGAGATAGAGAAAGAGAGTGAGAGTGAGAGAGAGAGAGAGAGAGGGCGAGTGCGAGTGCGACTCGGAAGAGATTCGGCTCCTGTTCGAAATTCGAATTTCGAAATGTGTGAATTTGTTTATAACACAAAACGTAAGCGAAACATACTGGGATGCTGTGAGCGTGTGCGTGCGTGCATGTGTGTGTCCTTGTGTATGTGGGTGTATTGTACTGGACGCCATTTCATTATTTTGCTGCTTTAAAGCAATGGCAACTATACTGGAGACAGCAAAATGTATTGCATACTTATGGGAGTTGCTTGAAAGTTTCTTTTCTTTTACGGAACGTCACATAATTCGTTCTCGACGACGATGCAGGGGCCGCGGGGAAGCCTAAGGAAGTAGCAGCAGCCAGGCAAAGCTGCCAGCCGTATTTTAAATATATGTTTATTTGTTTAGAACGTAAAATTGAACATCATTTGTTAGTTAATCGCATGCCGTTTGTATTAACTCAAATTTTTATTCTGCTTGCAAAACATAACAAAAGTTAATAGGAATTTGAAATTACACGGATTTCTTTCTTTTCCAGATTTCTTTCCTTATTTCGGGGAAGAAAAATATTATTTACTGACAGCAAAAAAGGTTTTTCAAGTTAAGGATGAAGATGAATACACAGCTCAAAATATATTTTAAATTTAATTTTTTTTTTAGGTAAGCTTGACTTTTCCTGTTTACGTATTTAGGCGTCTCTCTAAAACTCTATAGCTCCCATCAAAAGGAACCAAATATTGAAGTATATTCCTTTTGATTTTTCGCAAAAATAAAAAACTAACAAACAAAAGAACTCATTGCACTCATAATTTTGATTTGATTATGGGATATAAATTCTTGTAGAGCATGAAAAATATCTTAAATTCGCTGATAAGAGTCTAAGCAAACTAAGAAAGTGTTTTCCGCTTTTTTCTATTTTTCCTCTCGAGAATGGGAGGCTTTGTAAAAATGCGCCAATCTGCAAAGCTCTGTTCGAAAAAGTGCTTATTGGTTATCGATAGGAAATAAGGTGAACAGCTGATTGACTTTTGTTTACATTTCGTTGGTCGTTGGTTTTTTATGTGGTGTGAATCTCAAAGTTTGCAAACAATGTATGGAAATGAGTGGTAAAAGAGAATTGTTTACCCCGCGGTTGAAAGTTTCAGGCTTGTTTTGTTTTAGCTGACGGAGTTGCTAGGTAAACAAAGTATCGATAGAGCAGACTGGCAACAAAGTTAACTGGTCACGAGGTTGAATCATATACAACTGTCAGAAACAAAAAAAAATATGAAATTATGTTGAAATACTGGGTGCCGTGCGCCGTGGTCGCCATCAAGGCGCTTATATTTATCATCGACATTGTAACACTTCCGGTATATTTTGTATTGCAGGCGCCGTGGAAGCGTGGACAGGAAGCGAAGCGCATAAAGGCAAGGATCATTAAGAATGAGAAGACTGAGCTAACATATCGGACAACGGAGCCGCCACGGTCTGTGCATGTGAAGATGCTCCAGGAGAACATTGACACGCTGGAGAAGGTCTTCACTTACGTGGCCAAAACGTATCAGAGCAAGCGCTGTCTGGGCACGCGCCAGATACTAAGCGAGGAGGACGAGCCGCAGCCAAACGGACGCATCTTCAAGAAATACAACTTGGGCGAATACAAATGGAAAAGCTTCATCGAAGCCGAGCGCCTGGCGGCCAGTTTCGGACGTGGCCTGCGGGCACTGGGCCAGTCGCCACACCAAAATATTGTCATCTTTGCCGAGACGCGCGAGGAGTGGATGATCGCCGCCCAGGGCTGCTTCAAGCAGTCTATGCCCATTGTCACCGTCTACGCCACGCTGGGCGACGATGGCATCGCCCACTGCATCACGGAAACGGAAGTGACCACTGTCATCACCTCCCACGACCTGCTGCCCAAGTTCAGGACGCTGCTCAACAAATGCCCCAATGTCAACACAATTATCTACATGGAGGACCAGCTGCACAAGACCGACATAGCCGATCTTAAGGAACATGGAAGTGTCAAGATAATGCCCTTCTCCAGCGTCATCAAAAATGGCAGTGTCCTCAAATGCGGTAGGTTTAAAATGGCAAATATCAAACTGTGCGGATCACATATAGATTAGCTGTAACGCTTAATAGTTAAGAAATAGAAATGTGAAAGTATGCAACCAAAAATATATAAATTGACTTAACCCCATGACTATACAAATAAAGTAGGTATTATGTAGATAAAAGAACAAAGACATAGAAAAACCAAGTAAAGACAAATTTAAAAATATATGTATTATATACATATATATAGGTATCATAAGAAAGTAACGAAAAGTATATAGATTGAGTTAATCACATGAGATAACAAATAAAATAGGTATTATGTAGGTAAAAGATTAGGAAGTATACTTATTAATAAAATGGGTGGAGCAAAGGATGAATAATTCTACATAGAAATATATACAGATACAGATACGCAGGGTATACAAAATTCTGATCATGTAAATTATTTCTATTGGTGCTATTTTATAAAGTAGTTCGATCTTGATAGGAATGTGTTGGCAGCATAATTATTTTTGATACATTGGCGGGACTCGACCGATTCCCTGCTTCTTTAAATTTCTGCAAGGGTATAAGCAGAGAGATGCGTTATAAACAGTCTTGTCAAAAAAACAGATAAATTCTGAATTCTTTCCTCTACAGAGAGCGTCCCACCCAAGGCAGATGACATTGCCATAATTATGTACACGTCTGGCTCAACTGGCACCCCGAAGGGCGTAATATTATCGCACAAAAACTGCATCGCGACCATGAAGGGCTTTTGCGATATGGTGAACATATATCCGGAGGATGTGCTGATCGGGTTCTTGCCCTTGGCGCACGTATTCGAGCTGCTGGCGGAGAGTGTTTGCCTAATGACTGGCATCTCGATTGGCTACTCGACGCCGCTAACACTGATTGACTCAAGCAGCAAGATCAAGCGCGGCTGCCTGGGTGATGCTTCCGTGCTGAAGCCCACATGCATGACCTCGGTGCCACTAATATTGGATCGCGTCTCGAAGGGCATCAACGACAAAATCAACTTGAGTTCGCCGATCAAGAAGGCGCTGTTCCAGCTGGTCTACCATTACAAGGTCAAGTGGATACGACGTGGCTTTCAAACGCCGCTAATTGACAAGCTGTTCTTCAAGAAAGTGGCCCAACTGATGGGTGGCAAGGTGCGCCTCATTATGTCCGGCGGCGCTCCACTCTCGGCCGACACACACGAACAGATCAAGACATGCCTCTGTGTGCATTTGATCCAGGGTTATGGCCTGACCGAGACCACATCCGCGGCCACTGTGATGGATAATTTTGATATGAGCTATGGACGCACTGGCGGACCGCTGACCATTTGCGACATACGGCTGGTTAACTGGGAGGAGGGCAACTATCGTGTCACCAATAAGCCCCATCCGCAGGGCGAGGTTCTCATCGGTGGCGAATGCGTCTCCCAGGGCTATTATAAACTGCCCAGCAAGGCTGGCGAGGACTTTTTTGAGGAGGAGGGACAACGCTGGTTCAAGACTGGCGACATTGGCGAAATCCATCCCGATGGCGTCCTCAAGATTATTGATCGCAAAAAGGATCTGGTCAAGCTGCAGGCCGGCGAGTATGTCTCCTTGGGCAAGATCGAAACGGAGCTCAAGACCTGCGGGGTCATTGAGAACATTTGTGTCTATGGGGATTCCACAAAACAATTCACCGTCGCCCTCATTGTGCCCAATCAGAGCCAGCTTGCACAGCTGGCCGCACGAATTGGGCTCTCAAACAAATCCTTCAACGAGCTGTGCTCCTCGCCTAAAATGATAGATGCCATGCTCAAGGAAATCGGCGAGCATGCCCGCAAATGCAAGCTACAAAAGTACGAGGTACCCGTGGCAGTTACCCTCTGCAATGAGGTCTGGTCCCCAGACATGGGTCTGGTTACGGCCGCCTTTAAGCTGAAGCGCAAGAATATCCAGGATAAATACCAAAAGGATATCAATAGAATGTATGCCTCATGAATGCACCATGTGCTGACCTAAAATTAAATTGTTGTAGCAGAAAACACACGCACACGCACACACACTCACAGATACATTTACATTTTAATATGCACATACACACTTAAACACATACAATAGTCTGCAAAGAGAAAGTTTTCAGTATTTAGAAATTCATTTTAGTTGCTCTCATTTCAAGTTTAGTTTATGTATATAACAAGCTTTAATTTTGTTAATTTTATTGTATAATCCACCTTTAAATACGAATACATACACACACACGCACACACACAATACATGTTTAATTAATTACCATTCTTCACGTCAGTCTTTCAGAGAGATCAGCAGTTGGCTGGGCCATACTATTTATGCAATCTTATATGGTATCCCTGCCGTGTTAGTAGCTGAGCTCATAATATTGTATACATATATCATATATGTATAAGAAATCACCATATAATATCCCGAGACTTCTATATGACATTACAGTCGTAAAACGTAGCTTACTATCGACTATCGGCTGATAGTTCATATATAAGTATATATGATATAATAGGCAGAAATTGGGAAAGTTTTTGTTGATATGTGGGCAGCATAGCAAAGCTCGTAAATGTAAAGCTTGATAAGCACATATCTCGAAAATCGTGTTTCCTACTATAACTTCATTTTTAAAAGAACATATTAATGATATAGGGGTCCGATCCGACCGCTTCTGACAGTAAAACGATCATAAGAAAGGTCTTGTGACTATAGCCTTTAAACTGAGGTACTTGCAGCTATATCGACTTAGCTATTGAGAATAGTCAGGAATACATCTTTATGGGGTCGGAGATATCTTTTATATAAATTTCGTAAAGAAATTTTTACCCTAAAACCTAGGCAAGTTTGCACAAAAACAGACAACTATATATATGCTAATGTATGAAAAAGACATTCTTCAACGCGATGCACATTTCGTGAAAAAGTTACATTCCCTCGTCTGCAGAGCCAAATTAAGGATTCCTCTCGTTTCGCATCAGCACTTAAGCTGAAGAGTCTCGACTGTTGCTAGAGATTTGCGAATTTCGCATTGTTAAACTTATTGCTAAGTGTTGGCAGTCGCTGTTGAAGGCAGCTTAGAGCTTAGCTCTAGATTTGATTCTACTTTAAAAGTCTTCTCATCGGGCCACTTAACCTCGCCTTGATTAGAAATTAAACATGACAGTTGCACTGGGCCTTTACTTTTCCATGATTTTAAGACAATAAAACCATATAAGTATATTTACTCGAATATGGATTAGACGATTTGCTGTGACTGTGTCCGAGCTCGTATGAATGCGAGCTAGCGCTTGATCTGGTCGAGACAGTCCGCAGTTGAAAATGTATTCACTGTTGATCTATTGCACGCTGTTCATTTTCCGATTTCTTGACAAAATGATCCAATGAAATTTTTATGTTGACAACATAGGTTTGCTTCTTGTCGCATTTTGGAACGTTCTCAAGGGAGCACTTTACTTTAACATTGTACTTCAAGGTACTTGTCCTGGAACGTTTTAGCCTCACAGTGACAGTATATGTGTGCGGATCGTCGGGGCTTTTTTCGACTTTGGTTCCGTAAATGTACATGTCTGCTCTTTAAAATGTACCTAACCTCACTTTCGGCCCTAGAGCATGCGTTCGGCTTATAACAAATTAGATATATCTGCAAGGAGAGTCAATATTTATTATTATTTCCTCAAGTATCCAATCTTCCTTCTGTCTTGCTTCAATTGTCTTGATAGAAAATGCACATGTGCAGCAGCTCTCACCTGTCCAAATGCAAAAAGTACAACTAGGAATGAAAGCGATACGAGTACGATGCTATACGAGTACTTTAATCTAGATTTGGAGTGTTTTCATCGCACGACCAGGGCTGCAAATTCTTAGCTCCAATATCTTATGCGGTGCCCCCAACAAAGATTCCAATTGCAGCCCCAAGTGTAATGCGTGTAATGATAATATTCCCCTCTGATGTTCAATCCAAATTAAATTTAATGGAAAACAAATTAACTGTGCGTTTTGTGGAACAAATTTATCTCCGATTTCCAGCAATCAATTGCTGAAATGAATACAGCAGAAAAGGCTATGCATTTTTACTGTGACTGCAACTGCTGCAGTTGTCAGCAAAATCAATTGAATTAAAATCGTGAATAAATTAAATTAATGAAGCTGCTAAATAGACTGAACTAGGGTATACCCTGCAGCAAGGTCTAAACTGGGTTATAAATGCGAAGATATTTGCATTAAACTGCATTTTGTGACTGTACACAACTATCGATTCAACCGATTCCGATAGTTGCAGCAAACACTAGACATCACACATCGAAGGTTTAAAATACTTCAACAAGACGAAACTAACAAATAAAGAATGGAGAGAAAATGTTTCCATTTAAAAATACAATACTATGCAAATGTAGAAAGAGAATTTTTTTAAATAAAAATTTGCAATTATGTCTATTTATAGTTCAGACTGGCAAAGTTTTTTGGGCGAAGTTTTGCTTCAAACTTATTTTAAAAGCTCTATATAAGAACTTAGTAAATACATGTTTCAACATTGGTAAATTGAGGGAAAACGATTGTATGAATGTTTTTGTTTACCGCCCGATGGGTATCAAAACAATTTTCAAAGATCTTTGAAATAATTATTTTAGAAGTGCCACGGGCAAGGACGGGGTATACCCGCCAGTCCTATATATAACGATAGATTTGTGGCCCCTGCACGGTCGCTAACACTCTGGCTTTTGGCATGTCCCTTACATATGCATGCTAGTTAATAAAAAAAAAATATCTGCCCGGCCTGCCGTGTACTAATATATTGTACATGACGTTGAAATACAAAAAGAACATGCAGCTCATGATGATCAAATATGCAGGCATCATTAGCTCAGCATAACCGCAACAAACGCCTGCACACACACACGCAATCAAAGACGCACACGGAAAAAGCAAATATGGGAAACCTCGGGAGGTTTGGCAGTCCCTCCACAGTCCCCGTATAGTGCTCGTACTTTTGCAATTAAAAAGCTAGCATAACGGTAAATACTCGCATGTTGGCCCCGTGCATCGCACGTGCGAAGCGCCATTTTGCCAGCCAGTTTGCTGCTGCCGCCGGAAACGGAAACGCGTTCATATAACACGCATATATTTCTAGCAATTACAACAAGCAGCGCGCCTTTTGCCTTTGCATAGTAGACATAGTAGACACTTCAACACTCACTCCCGAACTACCCAACCCCACTCCCCGATCCCCATCCCACGTTATCGCCAGAGCAACCCTCTATGAAAGCCATGCGGTTGCCGCAGCAGACCAGATACATGCCACACGAGAGACTTGCAATTTATGGCGCTTACCAATTGTCCAAGTTTATGGTTTTAATTTTTGTATATTACACACACACCCACACACACATAATTATACAGAGGCGACACGTGCGTATTTTCAATTTTTACTCATTAATTTTAATTATTTTGTAATAAATCGAAGATTTATTGCTCACAAGTTGTATGTAGCATAATTTTTATCACGTATTTGCTCGCCTCATACCTACACCTCATAAATGTGTGAGACTGTGTGTGTCTGTGTGTGTGTGTGCAGCTTGGCCAGGTTAGTCTCGGAGTGTCAAGGGTATTACGGTCGCTGTTGCGGTGGCTTTTGCTGTCGCTCGTCGCTCGTTGCCAGTTGCTGGCACATGAGCTACACTTGACTCCATTGATTCCATTAGTTTTTATACAATTTTAAAGCATATGAATTCTGAACTTGTTTGAAATTCATTAAACTTTCGGAAAACTTAAATTGACTATCCTCAAAATGACATCGCTATTAACTTGTAATATATATGTGAAAAAATAATACACATTTTCTAGACTTAAACAAACACCAAGACAAAAGTTCATTTTGCAATTAAAAGCTTTTAATTGGCTTTACAAATGTATTATTAGAATATGTATAAATGTGATCAATTCCATGAGTCAAAATTCGTATGACCCTCTTAGGAAGTCCCACTTAATACAAGATCTAGCTTATAAATAAATAATATAAGAGATTATCGGGCTCTGGCTGGATAATGCTGCATTAAAAATCTAATTTTCTGTTACATTAAAATATATTTAATATCTAATATAACTACAAAATGTATTTATTTCTTTAACTTATTTTCAAATTTGCTTAAATACTGGTGAAGAATCATCAAGGAGCGGCATCATTGCATATAGCATACGATCCATTTAGGAAGTCATGCAAGTAATAGAAGTTTGACATTGCTCAGTCGCTACATGAATTCTTGTGGCATTTAAGAGCTTATTTGTTTGTGGCAAGTGTATGGCAAACTTTCGTACTGCCCATATACTATTTAAGGGCTAGGGCAATAACCAAAACTGCCCACTGAGCAGCGCAGCGCAACAAGCAGCAAGAACAACAAACAAACACAAGCATAAATTCAAAAAAAAAAAAAAAAAAAAAAAAAACAAGCGGAAAAAAAAAACAGGGAAGCCCTAACAAAAAAGAAGAAGCAAAAAAAAAATGGTTGTTTTGAATTGCTTTTGCCTGCACAACGGGCAACTTGGCAACTTTGAACGCAGGAGCTGGCAGGACTAATGAGGCTGCTGGCGGACATGGCGCAAATGAGCGAGGCGCCTGCCAAGCGAGTGCCCCAGCTGGGAGGGGGAGTGTGTGGGGCGGGCGCTGCCTGGTGCTGCCTGGTGGTCCGGGTTGTTAAATTAAAGCGGCGTTAGCAAACAGCGCCTGGGCGGGGGGTAGGCGGTGGGGAACCTGCAGAAACCGCAACTGAATAGCAAAAAAAAAAGGCAAAAACAAAAAATAAGTTCTAATTGTTTGTAGACATTAAATGGGGCGCCGTTTGGAAATTATTGCCATTCGCTTCAAATCTTCGGTGAATCGCCAGCGCAAGCTTCTCAACCCTGCCCCGCTGTGTCGACACTGTATGCGAGCGTGTGTGTGTGTGTGTGTGTGTGTGTGCGTGCAACATAATTGGTCGCTTGGTCGCTCATAACAATAAGCAGAAATGTTGCTGCCTGCCACCCACACCCCCCCTCCATTCCAACCACCTCCCTGGGCACGCTGTGAGCCTGCTTCTTAGTTGTTGTTCGGCAACTGAACACAAAATGGCCGCATGACGAATGTAACGGGCGGTGCGGCTCATAAACTTGCAACAATAACAACAGCAACAGCCGTGGCTAGTTGCGCATTTCGGCAATGGGCGTGCCACACAGCTTCAATAGCTTGCGTGTATGTGTGTGCGTGTGTGCGTGTGTGCGTATGCGTCCGTTTCGACGCCTTGTAAGTTTTAATTGTAATCGCATGTGTTTTGTGTGGCAGCAGCACATACACCGTCTGATTATTAGGCTTTAAATAATTAATTGCTTATGCATGTAATGGGCGTTGCCCGAGTGTGTGTGCGTGTGTGTGTGTGTGTGTGTCGCTAAATTTTCAATTACGTCGCCTCTTCAGTCGCACTCAACACCAAATCCACATGACTAGCACTTGCGGTCGCCAGTCAGTCACTTGGGTGCGCCCACATGTCCTTCAGTTGCAATTGCAATAACATTTTGCGGTTTTCGGTCCTGGCCAAAGGAATTTAATTAAGCTTGAAATTTGAATGAATTTCGACAGCTCCTTCAGCTGCTTCTTCATTTGGCCGCAATTTGCAGGCATTGCACAATTATCAAGTCAAATGCAAAAACTAATAAAAACCCTTTTGCTTATTGCCTTGTTGAATAACAATATCTCACATTGCCGTCGGTCTGCAGCAATAAATGCACTTAAGAAAAATAAAAATATAAATATATAAAATATATAGATTGATTAATTTGTTTTAGGTTGCGTATACGTAACAAGTTCACAGGAATTAAAACAACTTCGAATTGTACAAGAAAGAACTACCTAAGTAAAAATAAGACGAAAAACCAGCAATATGCAAAAACACACAATAGCAAATGTGCTTTCGTCGAGGGTACGCGTCGAGGAGATGATCTGTACCCGGTAAGTATCATGACGAATTTGCGTAACTCTTTTTCATTATATATATAAAAAATGAGAAGTATTTTTAATAAGTGTATACAAGAAGAGTACCTAGTTAGTCTTAGAGCTATTCTTGAATTATTTTCAAATCGATACTCATTGATATTAAGGAAATGGAACATGATGTCGACCCAGTATTCAGCTTTATCGTAAAGTTACGTTATTAACGCGCTAAACTGATTCAGCTCAATGGTTTCTTTTCTTTTATAAGTGCATTCGGACACAGTCAATACACCCAATACACCCAATTTTAATGGGTAGACGAAATAAAAGAAAAATTAAGTCAGCGCCTTGGCCCATGATTAATTACAGCGACCGGATGAGAGCCTAGACCAAATGTCCAATGCACACAAAGGAAGAGAGAGGGAGAGAGGTAGCAAAAGAGGAGGACACATACACGCACAGTCTCCATGCGGCGAATGATTTATGGCTTTTTAAAGATAGCCATCAACATCAACGGCAAACGCTGCCCAGATAAAGCAGCCACAATGGCTCGCTGCCGAAAATACTCGTGCCCTCACACAGCCGGCCGCATTGACAGCGACATTCACATGGATACGGAGTGCGAGTCCAACTCCAGAAGCAGACCAATGCAGAACCCCAGCATTGACTTCCGTTTCCGCTTCTGTTGCCGCACATCGCACTGAGCCAGCACTACGCGCGTCTCAGAGCCCGTGTTGACTTTATTTACGAGTAGTAGAAGTGAAATGAAGTTGATTTCATGATTGCGTCGAAATTGTCTATGAAAATGTAAATGTGTAATTATTTGGAAAATGGCAGGCTGTGCCAACAGCAACAGC